AATATAACAACAATAGCAATAATAAGACGACCCATTTAAAATCAATATCTGGAAACAGGCCCTGTGACAGATGGGCCTTTAAACTTGTGTGAATGTAGATGGTTGTGTTTAAGTGCAACTTTTCATAAACACACAGATACACCCCCTAAGACAGAGAGTGAGGGGGAGTGTCTGTGTGTGTCAGGAGGATAGCAAAACATGGACCTCTTGGGTTGTTCTCATGATTAACCAGTGAGATGCTTGATTTGATGGCTGAACCACAAAAAAAAGAAAAACAAAGCAACAACAACAAAACCAAAAAACAAAATAAAATAAGAGGGGCAGCCCAAATGTACATATGAAACAAAACATCTGCATGACAGTCATCTCAAAGATCTGAAACTACAGGTAACTGCAGGGAGACGGCCCAGGCGGCAAAGAAACAAGTTCCATCTCTCACACACGCACATGACGAGAGGAGTCTTGGCTTTACGTTACTGATGAGCAGATACACAAACACTTGTACATAGACGAATCACCGCAGACCATCCATGAGTCTGAAAACACGCAACACTTTAAACTTAAAGCTCAACAAGCAGGATGCTAGACAGGGCGGGGAAGGGAAAACAAAACGGGGGCAAGGCTGGAGAGACAAAGTGCAGACGTGCTGATTGAGTCGCGTGATTGGAGCGAGTTTCTCCCTCGTCCATGATGTGGGTGAGACGGACACATGGCTACCAGAGAAGGGAGGCGGAAAGCGGCAGCGGTGGCGCGCAGTGTTCACCAATTCAGCTGTGGGTAAGCAGAAAAGAGGCGGGTACATTTACAAAAAAAGCAAGGAGTGGAAGGCAGCCCTTTGAGAAAAGCACGGTGAGAGTCGGGTGGCTGAACAACCAGAATGAGCATTACCACATGCACCAAAAAGCCTCACACTGATCCCAGAGTGCTGGCTATGGCTTCAGAGAGCGACACAAATCTGATGTTTGCTGCAAAAAAACAAACAGAACAAAAAAAAAAAAAAAAAAACCTGGACAAAACACGAGGCGCAGGTGCATCTGTTAGCATCACTGCTCTGTATGAGAGGGATGACCCAGTGCATGGGTTGGTCTGTTTCTGGAGGGGGAGGGACATCCTATACTGTTCTCAGGTATGTGATCTACCAAACAACGGTTAATACAGTCACATCCAGAGCAAAGACAGGAGGGAGCAGACACCAAACAGATGCAAGGACATAGCTAAGGGAAAACACTCTGGAGAAACCAGAAAAGGAAGCTGGGAAAATTACACACAGGCCCCCCCAAAGAACACACACAAAAAAACCAACCCAGTAAGGAGTAACTGGAAATATAATATATACAGCACAACCATAGAGCGATGATGGGTGCTTGGCTGTGCGCTGAGCCGACAATTGGTTTCAACAGGAGTCGTAAAAAACAGAAACCCAAAAACAGGTAGTCATTGCCACGTGCAATCAGCTCTCACATTAACCAAAAGCAGGTTTCACTAGTTTCCTAGTAAGAATTTTAATGAGCTTGCTCTCGTCTCCCCGGTGGCTTAAGGTGAGGAGATCCCACTCTGTATTAACGGGTGGCTAGATTTGAGTCTTCGCTCGCAGTTAGGCCTCAATGACAGGCACCCCGGGTCAAACAAAACCAGACCCCATTTTCTAGGATGCATGTTCACCAAAATGGTTACAGAAAATAAGACTGAGAGCGTGTTCAGCGACCCCACCGTTTTACATTTAATAAAGGAAAACGTTTCAACTCAGTTAGGCTGATGGTTTACGTGCAGTTCTCCTAGAGTGGCGATAATTTGGGCGTTTTTGACCCAGCACAAAGCACCATGGGCATTAGTATGAACACTATGACTGCACAAACACATACTAAGAGAAACTATTTTTATGCTTTTAGCCCAAGTCATGCACGGCCTCCTGGATACAACCGACTGTCCACATATAAGAAGGAGGGAAAAGTCTGCCTGCTCTTTTATTATTCCCATGTTGCTCGCCAGCCAAGTCCCTTGCATGTCTCGGCCACTTTGGTAAGTTTTCAGGAATGCATGCATTCATATGAACATCATACACTTTTATAAGAAAAAGACCGATAACAAATGAAATCCTGCCAACATGCCAGTAAAAACATCGGTTTGTTTCAAAATCAAGTGTTCAGAAAAAAAAAAAAAAAAAAACAACAACCCTTAAACAATGTTGTACAAACAAAAACTGCAACAAGCACAATTAAAAAAAGAAAAGAAAAAACAAGTTTTTTTTGTATGTACATACACACCCGATTTAACATACCCCGTTCTTTTAGCCCTCAGTTTTACAAGGTCGTAATTTACATGGATCATGACAAGAAAGTTATGGTGTTGGTTAATACAGTAGTACGTGTGTATACATGAGAGGAGGCTACACAAAGAGGAGAAACAGGAGAAGCTCAGACAGGTTAGCGACATGAAAGAAAAGGTTTGATGAGGAGTGGAAAGGGACAGCGTGTTGCTGTAGATGAGGCATAAAAATGGAGAAAGAAAGAAAAAAAGAACTAAAACAGTACGACAGACCCTACCATCCCACCCAAGCACAGAAATCAAATTTAAACTTAGCTCTCTCTTTGCAGTAGAAATGGAAAGATTAGCAATTTAACGCTTGTATTTCTTGGTTTTATCTTTTTGTTGGTTTCTTGATGATGCGTTTTTCTTTTATTTTTAGCAAGTTGTTCCGAGCCTCTGCGCTTCTTTGTCACTCCTCAGGACTAAAGAAAAAAAGAAAAAGAAACAGAAGACTTTAATAATGACATCCTTTAATCCTATTATTAGAATCCTGCCAAGTAACATTTAACCACCGATTGCATGCAGGACGTAGTGCAGCTGAAACCAAATGTGACCTAATATGTAGAATAAAACGGTCAAGGAAAGACGTTTTTCAGTGGACACTTGCACTCACCGGCCACTTTGTTGTTAGGTACATCTGCTTATTAACACAAATATCTACCCATCAAATCACATGACAGCAGGTAAGGGCAGCCGACAAATCAGCAACTACTTTGTGAGGTCCTGTCAATGTATACCAAAATTCCCCAATCTGGAAGCAAACTGCTTCCAGATTGTTTCTCTGTACGTTTACTGTAGTTTTTTTAGATCTGTAACAAGTTTGCACTCTAGGCTGTGGCTTGTCTAAGTGTCTGCATGAGCAGCACTTGGCTCCACTGACATCTAGTGGATGCACACCACAACTAAATCTATCCAGAGCTCTTACAGCTTGTTGACTAGATCTGAAAAATCTCACTTTCCTGATTTTCTTTGGCTTATCTCAGCCTGATCTGAAAGGATTTCTCAATGCAAGGCATGTTTGTAACCATCACTAAGATGGTGCGAGATTAGCTCAAGCAATACCAAAACCCCCACTGATTTTAGCCTCAAATAATGCAGAAAAGACTTCAAACTAGAAAGACTAGCTCAAGCTGTAGCTGTGTAGTCCAATGAGGTGAGGAAGAAAGATTTCCAAAAGAACTTAATGTAGAGGTGTTATGAAAAAGTACTAAGTCTAGCTAATGTGGGGAAAAGTGTGTGTCTTCTTCCATAATATACTTTGTGTTTTTAACCTTGTGTTGCTGCTTTGAGTTTGGGTACAAAGAAAGCAGCCTTTTTTGTGTACCTGTGTCTCAAGAGCGAACCGGCGGCTGGTAGTTGTCCTGGAAACGGGCCGTTTCCTCAAAGATCAGCTCCTTCAGCCTCTCTTTGGGAAGGTCGTCCAGTTCCATGGTGAAAGTGAAGGGCTCCTCTGCGACAGGCTGCACGTTTCACACACACGCACGCACAGACAGCAGCAGAATGTTACGAGTCATTTCGTGAAAACGCTGCTCTGCATTTGCAAAGTGAGAAGCGCAGTGTGGTGGTGGCTTGCATGAGTTTCACACTGTTGCGACACCACACACCATAACCACGATTATTACACTTACACAAAGCAGCAGTAATCTCACAGGTAAAATAAAGTCTACAGTACAATGAACATGTGTTTACTGCACTGAATCTCTTATAGTTACACAACCTGAGAGGAAACTTAATACTTAATCCAAACACTGCTAAGAGGCTTCACAGCACAGTCCAATATAGCTGCAAATCAAATCAAATCTTAGCTTACGGTAGAAAAATGGCTAAACCCAGCTTCCTTACGTAGCTTGTATGTTGTGTAAAACTCTTTACCACACAAATTTAACACTTTGTGCATTTTGCACATAATAAAGATTGTATTTTACCTCATCTGAAGGATCGTAGTACTGCTCCAGGTAAGGGTGAGCCAGGGCCTCCTCGACGGTGATGCGCTTGATGGGGTTAAAGGTCAACATGCGGCCCAGCAGATCGAGAGCTGCATTAAAGTCACAAGGAGCTTAGTTAGTTCACTCGCCAGGTTATGCAAAAATATAACCTACAGCTTTTCTTTAATTTTCACCCGATAACTGATGACCCGAGCAAACATCACGTGAAACATTTCCAGAAGTTTGATGCGTTTCAGTTTCCAACAGTTTCTTAAATCCTGCCACTCACTCAGAACACACAAACACACAAAATGAGCCATTTTTTAAATATTAGTTGAGACAAATGCATTATAATAATATGGCAATTTCTCTATCCAATATATCACAGCTTATTTAAAGGCGTTGGTGCAGGTTTTTAATCATGTGAATCATTTCCTGATGCTGCTGTTTGCTAATTGGTCGCTAACAGGAAATCTCTGTTGCTCACAGCAATCCTGATTTACAGCTGATCTCATTTACATAGACATCTGTTGAAGTGAGGTCACACCCCTGTGCCCTAATAAAGTGTGTACCTTAGAGGCAACTTTCTCCTGACTGGCTGCAAACAATTAACTATTTTAGTGTTTTATGAGCATTAATATAGGATCCTAAAACAGAACACCTGTTTGTATTTGTATACGCCAAGACTGCAAATAAACCACATCAATCGCGTTGGAGTCTGCCTTGTTTTCGGACACTTAAACGTGACAGAATGTGCAGCTGAAACGATAATAACAAACAAAACCTTATTTTAAACATTAATTTATTTGTCGTGTCTTCAACCTCTTTTCCTATGGAACAGTTTTATCTCGGTTTGTAAAAATTCAGCACCACCCTCTTCATCTGAAGGTGCATGGAAAACTCCGGGGTTAACTTGGATACGCATGTCGGTTGAAACTGAAATTTTAGTTCAGTGGCGGCAGCAAGTTGGCAGTTCGCTGGTAGTGCGTGGGCTGCCCATCTACCTGTAGAGAACATCTGCTGTCAGTGGAGGCAGCATACAAAATATGTGGTAGAACAGGCCTGAGGGTTATTCTTACTGGTGCTGCTGGTACAACAGCCAGCCAAGGGGAAGAGAGAAGTTCTAACCCACAAAAAACTGAAGTGAAACAGTGTTACAAACAATGAAATGTTTCCACTGCACAGTGCTTTCCATGCTGCATTTTATGATTTTTGATGATTTCTCTACACTTATCCCATGCCTCGACAACCCTCTTGTCAAACAATCAGCATTCGACTAACACATAGGTCTTCCCCGACCAGCTACGTGCAGCTGGGATGTTGGAGCACATTTATGGTGGGTGCAAACCCCCCCCCCCTCTCTCTCTCTCGAAATCCATACGCAAACAAAACAGTTTGCGCAAGATCATAAATTAGGCATCGACCTAGTAGCAGACATAAGTTAATCAGATAATAGAAAGACAACCTGGCTATACTGAACTTGATTTGAAGTACAGGGCTCAGGAAATAGTCTGCCCTAGATGCACTCGCACCAATGAAAACACAGTTAGGTGAGGAAGCTGCCTGAGGCGGCATAAAAAAACAACTGATTACTAGTTCAAGATTTTTTTTCTAGATCAGTAAAAACTGTGGGGAACCTTAGCTCATTTGATAATCAAAACTATATCCAGAGAAGAAAACTCAGCAGCTGTGAAATCATGGGGAAATTACCAGTTATATTCTCACATGGGCCTAATCGAGCATGACTTAGTGTCATAAAGAAAGTACGCTTTCTTGTACATTTCTGTTGGGTAACGTCTTGATAAAGTCAGTGAAACACTGCATCTTTAGCAATGCTGAAGTATATAAATGTCTACTCCTTGCTAGTATTCAGGACTGCAAATAAACCATGCCACAGTACCTTTAGGGTCTGCCTTGTAGAACAGCTTTTCCCACGGGATCTTGGGTTTTTCAGGCAGGGACTGCAAGTAGTTCCTCGCCTTCAAGTTAATGATGCAGTTCAGATCTTCTTGAGATGGAGAGCCAAGAATGCCTGTAAAAAACACAAGGAGACTCAAGACGGCTGCTCATTAACATCACTGATCTCTAATGTGGAAATAAGAGAGAAGTATGTCTCACCCAGTATGTGGTTGAGTTGGTCCAAGTAGTGTTTCCCAGGGAAGATGGGTTTGTTGGACAACATCTCAGCCAGGATGCAGCCCACCGACCAGATGTCAATGGACTTTGAGTAGCCCTGAGACACAAACACAAGCACTTAGCCAAACTGTGATTTTTATCTTTTATTTATCGAAAACTAAATAAATTAAAAAGGAAAAAAAAAAACAACCCTCATCAGTTACCCACAGTCTTACCTTGGAGTTGAGCATGATTTCTGGAGCCCTGTACCAACGAGTAGCCACATACTCGGTCAAAAAACCAGTGTGGTCGTGCTCTGGGTCGGCTATCCGCGCCAGGCCAAAGTCACAGATCTGACAACAACACAGAGGGTCAGAGGTCAAAAACAGCAGTCTGCCAGCTGGCCCAGAACAAAACTCCAGAGTGTCTGAAAGTAGTGAAGCATGTTCAGAAAGTTATTTTAGATTTAGATGTAGTTTTCTTCTCTGTTTAATATGCATGCAACACAGTTATTTTAAATGATGTTGGTCTTGTTATATGGAAACGTACAGTAAGTAACATTGTTGGGAAACAGATCCAGTATATAGCTGCAGGAACATTCGTTTAGATGCATTTATTCCTCTGGAAGGGAAGGCTTCAGAAAACCACAGCAACACGAGCTGCCTTTGTTCCTTACTCCTCCCACATGATCCAACTAATCCAGGGATTGATGGCTGAAGGTTCATAGTTCACCCGGACTACTCTAAGGCTGTGCAACATTGAAACAAATGGCTCAAAATAACAACAACAACAACAACAAAAAAAAGATTGGAGATGAGATTTTGTTTGCCTTGTATTCAAGTTTTACTGTTTTTTTTAAAAATTATTTTTCATCACTTTTTATGCACTTTCTTACAAAATCTTTATGATTCCTTAAAAGATAAGATATTCCTATCATTTATCTGTAATTCCCAATACACTCGCAGAAACACCGTTTACACTGTGTGGTTGCATCCTTACTTACTTTAGACACCACGAGAGGTGTTTTTAGGATCGTTTTCAGGATTGTTTTCTGCCATAAAATAAGAAGCATGAGCTAGAGAGCCTAGTCATTTCATACTAAAATTCATTGAAAGTGCAAAATTTGATTGAAGCCAGCTGAGGTGAACACGTGTCATTCTCATCAGATGTGCTGCGGTGCGTTTCAGAAGCTTCCAGGTAGATGTTCTCTGCTTAGCTAAAAATATGTGCCCGGTCTATTTCTGACAAGCGCCGCATCACACCGCACAGAGCCGATTGAGCAGGAAGGAAAGTAAGAGAGAAGAATGGCCTTGGGCATCTGGTCAGTTTTCAAAATAAAACACCCGGATGTGGTCCGAAGCCGTGGCCAGGATGGACCAAAACCACACTGCAGCTGGGAAGCGACACAGCCGTCAATTAAGCTCTAAATACAGCATACATTACAAGGCCCAAAGACTGTATCATTAAAACAGTAGCAACCTGGTTTTCCTGGCAGAGCCTTCAAACATTCCTTCGAAGTTTTTTTTTTAATCTTCTTGAGAGCTGGCTGATGTAACCGCCGTTGCCCACAATGCTACTTTTATGTTTAATTACATGGAAATAAATGGCCTAAATGCCACATAACACTGACTTTGCAGCACATAAAAGTCAAATGACCAGATTTACACTCAGAGCCTTCATATGCTGTATCAAGTATGTAAAATCCATTATCCCACACCAAGGGGGGGAAAAAAAAAATAAAAAAAAATAAAATTGTTGTCGTTTTAAATGGTGATTGCAGCATGCACATGTGAGCTAACCTTGAGGTCGCAGGTGGTGTTGATGAGCAGGTTGGAGGGCTTGAGATCCCGGTGCAGCACGTTGGCGGAGTGAATGTACTTGAGGCCTCGCAGGATCTGGTAGAGGAAGTAGCAGACGTGGTCGTTGCTTAGCCTTTGGCTCTTCAGTAGCTTGTACAGGTCGGTCTCCATCAGGGTCTGCACAATGTAGCTAGAAGGATGCATGGGTCAAGGAGGACAAGAACAGCTAGTATCTACTGATGCTGGAGGATAGGAACACTTCGTGGATGCTTTCTGCAGCTAAATATGGTTCAAATCCAGTGAAAATCGGCTGAAGCCTTTTTCGTAAACCTTTCAGGTCAGGAGTCATTTTGTTGTGCAAATCAAACAACAGAAAACCTAAATGACTACAGACTCTAGCAGGAGTGTACATAGCCCAAAAGAGCCTACAGGTGGCTTTACCAAATTTAGAATATCCATTATACTTCGGTATCCTTTTGCAGCACTGCATAAATACATATTTCAATCATTCAACTGTTCTAGATCCAGATCAGCAAGTATTGCAAGTATTAACAGTAGGTTTATATTTCTAGAGGAAAGTCTGACAGGTAGATGTGTGCACAGTCCTGGTTGATTTAAAAAACGCTCCTAAATGATCACAACTGTTACAGTTTGTGATAAAGACAAAAATTGTTTTGGAGAGAAAAGAAGACGAGTTTTACAGCAATATTCGCTGCATCATTGTGACACAAACCATTTGCTATCTGAACACAGACAGAAAAATAGTTCAAACTAGATTTTTATGACAAGTGCTTAATATTACTGTGACTAAACAACCATTTTAGAGAACATTTAAATGGTTCCTGAGTCCAAAATAAGTCCACTTAGGCTGAATGACACTTGTTAAAGGGTTAAGAGGCCCACAGTGCACGGTGCACTAACCAGCTGAGCTACACACAGAAAGTAGTAACTAAATAATGATGCCATCAGCGGACAGATTTGATTATCCTTAGCAAACTCAGTCAAGTTTTCACGAGTTCATATAAACACTACGTGACTAAGTAAAGCAAACCAAGCAGATAAAACAACAGGATACACAAAAAATGCGACTCATGCATTTCCTTTCCGTTTTTCAGAAGACAATGCAACTGTTCTCAGTCAATGCAGAGTTCCGAGGATGCTCGCTACTGCCCAATGTGGCTGAATAACAGAGATCTTAGCAATGATTCAGCAGCTCAAGCCGTTTGAGTAAAGTGGTCAAATGACTGACTCTCGAGGCCATTTGATGAAAATGTTTTGCTCTGTGAAGCAAATCTGATATTATAGATTTGATTGATCTCTACCAGCCAGAGCATTAATGTTTCCAGGTTTCCTTTCTTAACCCATCCCACTGGCTTTAACTCTATGCACACACAGAGCAAGTAAAAGATGGATTAATAATTTGTGTTTGCTCGTCTGGTCTAAATTCACCACAAGCCACACAATTTTAATAACTGTGCAGTCACAGCTGACTCATCCGAGCCACAAGCTTAGAGAGAAAAACCAGAGGTGGTTGAAGTTCTGCGAGAGTCACAAATTTTACAGGTGAGGGCTAAACCTGTACTTGAGCCCCACCCCCCAAAAACATCTGTAATCAAACAGCCCTACTTTGTCTTTTTAAACACACAAATCTGCAGTTGACTTCAGCATCTGTACCATCATGATGCTGAATGACTTATTCATTGGTTAAATCCAGTAAAGAATAGTGTGCTACAGTGCATTTGCATAATAAACTCGCAAATTTCATATTAGTCATTGTTCTCAGCATCTTAAAGATGGCTCACTTCCTTCACAGTAAAAATTTGATCTCACATATTCCCTGAAACAACAACAACCTCACAGAACTTGCTTCAGGTATTAAACTCGGTTTAGAGTTTATGGACTCTTGAGACAGTTTTAATGTAACCATGTTCTTGTCTCTCCTTTAGTAACATCTCAATCTCAGTGTGACTGCCTGCTTGATTTTTTTTAAACCATAAATTAACACGTATGGAAAAAGCAGGATACACATCCCTCATGTTGTCGAGCTGCTGTGCCCTGATGATGTCGTTGATGCCGATGATGTTCTCATGGTGGAAACGCAGCAGGATCTTGATTTCCCTCAGCGTGCGCTGGCAGTACGTCTGGTGCTCGAATGGGCTGATTTTCTTGATGGCTACGCGCTGGTTTGTCAAGTTGTCCAGAGCAGAGCTGGGAGGAGGCACAGGACAGGGGTCAGATTACACACTGCATAGATACGGTATTACAAACTGGGCTGACACTGAGCTCCATAAGGGTGCTTCAAACTGTCACTACTAACAACAAGCAATGGGGCTTTTTTTTTGTTGGCTGTAATATGTTGAGAAGCACTGTAGCTGTAGGCCGGAGTGTGGGCGCAGTGTCAGCACGATGGAGATGTAGGATGCATGAGGAGCAGGCAGGGCTGGAAAAAAGGTGAGGATGGTTTCTTTCTTGTGGTGAGTTTTGCATTTAAAAAAAAAAAAACACTCATCTTTATCAGGAACACTAAGTGAAAGATCATTCTTGGGTTGCACAACACACTGAAATATTGCGAGGATGTATGTAAGTTTTGGAGCTTTCGCATGTTTAACAGACACTCCAAGACCACTTGGATCGCTGTCAGTGTGCCAAACAGTTATTGCTGTCAATGTTTACAAACAGGGAAAGCAGCAGCAGCAAAGTCACGTGACCACGATGGCACAAACAATATAGCACTATGCTATCAGAGCTGGCAGAGAGCCGCACGGTGTGTGCGCCCTGCTGAGGTGGGATGTGTGGGCCCAACATCCATCTCGCTGCTGTGCCATCTGATTGTTCATGAGGCCGAGCTGTGAACGCAGCGACATGACACTGATAATCAAACGCATCTAACATGGTTGGACACGTCCACACGAAAAGGTGCAGCTCTCATACGTCGATAACACGAGGGAGAGGCCTCGGCAAGGCTCACAAATGTCACTCGCATCCTCCGCAGCAGCTCTGTCAGAATTAAAACAGAGATCGGAGCGATTTTGAGGCTGGTTCCGGTCGTGGCTACAGCGATAACCAACTTTCCTCTGCGGTCAAACGCCGCCTGCAGAAGAAGATCTGATTGCAGTAGCAAACTACGTCCTGCGCAAACACTCCCCAAATCTTGTTTCCTGTAAAGCTCATAGCCACGCCTGTGGCTGTTTGGCTAACCCGAGTCACCGTAAAGCTAGGCTGCTCAAGAGGTTCAACAGTGTCTTAAGTGCCAATCATCGTGACTGAACACACATTAACTCGACCCCGCTTGTAGAATACAGCCGCTAAAGCGAGCTGGCTCACAGTGTTTGCTAATAAACACATTATGTTAGCTAGCGCGTTCGCTTCGCGCTACGGTAGCCCGACAAGAGATGACAAGCGCTACTACTCACCACACCATTCCGTAAGCACCCTCCCCGATGTACGACAGGTTCGTATAGCGGGGGCCCACGTCAAAAATCTGTCCTTTCACGGACTCGGCTGGAGTCCTGGGCACCGGAGCTACGGGCGGTGCATCGGGCGCAACAGGCGCAGCAGCAGCGACAGCAGCGCTGTCGGAGGCTTCGGCCGCGACCGCCGCAGTGCTGCTCGTATCCGCCATTCTTCCTCTCCAAACCGCTCAGAGACTGTCAGGAAGTGTCACTAGGCCCCGCCGCCGCTTTCAGCTGCTCTTTAACGGCCGTCTGAGGCTTTAATCGTGCGGACTGTGTGACTGACGGGGCGCAGCAACTGGGCCCTCTCTACTACTGGAGCGTAAATGGATTTCGTGCGCGAGCGGGGATTTGGTCTCAGCAGTCAGCGTAAATGCGCGTGCAAGAGTTGCGTTAGATTTAACTAAAAGGATGGTTCCGTTGGGCGGCAGCGTGTCATTTGGCTCCAAACGGCAGGCACCGCCTACTCCGCTGCTGTAGTGAGGCAAAACAAGCGGCCATACAAGAATTAAACTTGCAGCAGCCGCGAGTGGGCGTGCCGAAATATGTTGCATGCTGGCTGTTATGGAAAACAAATTAAATAGTTTCTGATGAATTTGAACTTTGGCTTGTTTTTTTTTTGTATATTAAATATTTTAGAACAATAAAAATAGTTTTAAATGGTGGTTTGAACACGCCGTGGCAGGATAATGTCACAGGAGAGGCTTTTTTGTTTACATGTACACAGACTTTATTGTATGTCAGGTTTATTACATAAGGCATCACATTATTATTTATACATTACAACAGCAATAATACTACCAGTATATAGCTGGCAACTACTGTTGGTAAATATCAAACATCATTTAAACATATACAAGTGTTAGTGTCAGGATGTTTCTTCTTCCATATACACCAGAATAATAATAATGATAATAATAATAATAATAATAATAATAATAATAATAATAAAATACAGCATAAAATAATCTATCTATCTATCTATCTATCTATCTATCTATCTATCTATCTATCTATCTATCTATCTATCTATCTATCATAAACATGTCTCTTTCAAGTACTGTTGCTGCAGTGAGAGTACTAACTGAGATGGGGAAAAGAGATCATATTTCTCCCATGGAGTTGCTGCTCTTCATTGGCCCCCGGTTAAATCCAGAATTGAATTTAAAACTCGTCTACTCACATACAACCACTTATATAGTCAGGCCCCATCATATCGTGCATAGGACCACATTATCCTAACAGAGCACTTTGCTTGCAGACTCTAGGCTTAATTGTGGTTCCAAGAGTATTTACAAGTAGAATAGGAGGCAGAGCCCCAGGATTCTCTCTTCTGTGGAACCAGGACCCAGTTTGGATTTGGGAGACAGACACCATATCTACTTCCAAAATTAGACCTAAAAGCCTTCCTTTTTGTTAAAACTTATAGAGCTGGATCACGTGACCCTGAACCACCCCTTAGTTACGCTAAGCTGCATTGTGCTATTGAATTTACTCATCAGTAATTATTAAACCTTGGCTGTGTTGGTTCTCTTCTCTTTCCCTTCACCACCCGGTCGATCTGGTCCTCCCCGAGCCTGACTCTACAGGAGGTTTCTTTCTGTTGAAAGCGAATTTTCCCTACTCACTGTCACCAAGTGCTCACCCAGAGAAGGTCATCAGGTTGTTGTTTGGTCAAACTGACTCCCTTCTCTAATTTTTCTCTTTCCGCGTTTTTAACAATTTACCGACACTTACACGGAAATGTTTTCTAAAAGCTTACAAACGTTCGCACATTATGCAGATATCGATCAAAACATTAAAAAACAACAACACTATTTTCATTTATTTTTTTTATGTTGCACTAAGCTATACATGTCAAATACAGGACATTCATTTACCTGTCGGTCATCTTTTTTTTTTTTAAATCAACTTTAAACGGCCGATCACTATGGAAACGAGCGCCACCGTCGTAGGCGCACCCCTTTGCGGACGTCACCTTGCAGGGCGTGGCACTTCCTGGTTTCCGTTGTGTTGTACTTTCTAGGCTACTGATTGATTGGAGGAATGATACATTTACCCCTGCGGCGACACTTGGTCGGACCGATTCGTTTAGCGTTTACTCTTCTCGGACTCCCGCATACCGTCTGGACCTCCGGAGTAAGGTATGGACGGGAACATTACTTATAAGCCTTTACCTTGAAGCTATCAAGCTAATAAGCATAGGGAAATAGAAAGTCTGACTGAATAGTGCTCACCAGGTAATTTTAGTACTGTACAGTGGCTTGGGTTATATGCACAATCCAATTTATTCACAATGGATATCAAAATAGATGTTAATATGCACGAGATTATAGACATGACCACTGAAGATCAGCTATACAGAATGATCACTGTACAGATTTCAACACGGCAGAAGCAGCTGTGTAACAGCAGCTGTAATCCCGCTGCCCTGCACTGATTAACGGCCTACTCCTTTAATCTATGTGCGTGTGACAGAAGATATTTCTTGTCATCATTGAGGGGCAGTGGCATTTTCATAATGTGGAGAGAAAGGAGTGCATGTGGAGTACTTACATTATCTTCTCTCTCCTTTAGGCCTGCTATTTCCTGCCCTTCTTCTTACCCCTTCCCAACCAGTAAAACCATCAGCGCTGACAACACTAGTTACTGCCGCCGGCACTCGACCATGCCATCTTCAGTAGGGCCTCATGTAAAGTCCAGATGCCCACAGTATCCAGGGTCCAATATCAAGCGCTTGTCTGTGCCTGATGACAAGGTGGACTGGACTCAGAAGTGGCCCGAGTATAATCCAGTCAGCTACACGGCCCCTTCAGTTTTAAATAACCCAGCCTGGGCGGATCCTGATATTGGGTGAGCAACAAATAGCACCTTTAATGCTTATCAAGTACATTCTGGTAGCGCCATGCGAGTAATGTAATCTGATCTATGAAGCATTATAGATTTTTTTTTCTACACTTGTTTTGTAGCTCCTCTCCAAAGTTTAACACTGTGGATGGTGCTGTGGACAGGACGAGCTTTGAGGGAAGCTATAAAGTGGAAAATGGAAAACCGCTGTAAGTTATACCTCTAAGATGGTTTTTCCGATATTTAATAAAACATCCAGTTTAGTAGAATTTGCCCTGGTAACTGCAGTGTTAGCAAACCTTTCACACTGCAGAGCTGTTTCATTAGCTGTTATTGTTAAAGGCATTGCTTACAAGTCTCAAAACTCCATATAAAAATTTTTACTCCCATAGAAATCCTTGTGGACGCACAGGGTTGGCAGGCAGAGGGTTGCTAGGACGATGGGGACCCAACCATGCAGCAGATCCAATAGTCACCAGGTACCTATTCTTTTGCTTTACACAGTGCAATTATCCACACTCACATACCGCGCATGAATAATTTAAAAGTGGAAATCTCAGTGCACATTAGTGCCAAGTAATTTGATATCCATCTGAAAGCTGACTTCAACTGAAACAGTTTCATATCATAGCTAAAAGTCGATGAATTCAAAGACAACCGGTTGCATTTATGTACATTTCACCATCTGACAGATGGAAGGTAGATGTCAAAGGGGCAAAGATTCACCACTCAGTCTCCCAAAAGCCTGTTCTGCAGTTTGTGTCTATCAAGAGGAAGGACTGTGGGGAGTGGGCCATTCCTGGGGTAAGTGTTTTTTATGTTTCTTCTGTCTATACAGGGGCGTCCCGCCATTCTTGCTTGCCATATGGTGTCTGCAAAAATGCTGTAGGGCAGCAAAAACAAGATTTCATTGTCGTGGAAGGGAGGGGTTTGGAGATATGTAAGAAGTTATAGTCCTGTTGTTGTTTTTGCAGGGCATGGTAGATCCAGGCGAGCAGGTTTCTCTCACACTGCAGCGGGAGTTCTCAGAAGAAGCATTGAACTCGCTCTCTAGTTCCCCAGCAGAGAGAGCGGAAATCCATCAGCGCATCACCAATCTCTTCAAATCGTCAGGATTTATGGTTCGTAAAGTGGCTTATGTGTTTGCTGCCATATTTGAATCACCAGGTGGGTCTGTCAGGTCAACTATCAGGCTTTTTCTCTGAGGGCTGACAGCTTGTGATCTTTCTCCTTCAGGTCTATAAGGGCTATGTCGATGATCCCAGAAACACTGACAATTCCTGGATGGAGACGGTTGCTGTCAACTTTCACGATGACTTAGGTATCATTAATTATGAGGAATGCTATTCCTTCTTTTTTCTTTCACCTCTGCTTGTCAGCATTTTTCTAGCGTTTTAAAAAAGTTGATGAATGTATATGAATATAAAACACTGGACCGTAATACTGTATATAAAAGATGAATGTGGCCACTTTTAATGTCACACATTGGTTCGTTAAGTCGTGTTTTGAAGATTCATCCTCAAGATTTTGGCGGTCACTGTCTTGGTTTCCTGACCCTCACACACTGCATATTCAAAAAGTATCAACCTGTCAGTCACAATGTGGCGCAAAGACCTAAAACAACCTAAAACGTCTTTTTGAGTCGCCCCCTGCTGTATATTAGAAAAAAAGAAATGGAGGTTTTAAAGCACTTCCAGATTGGATTTAAGACTTGGTAGTTGGGGGCGCCCAGTGTTGGGTGTAATATGTTACTTAAAACTACAATGACATTAGATTTTTCAGTAATGCAACAATTAAAGAACGTGTTACTCCATTAAATTCAGTAATTATATTTCATTTTCAATTATTATTACTCACATTATTTGAGGAGTGAAGTTATGGAGATTAGTTTTGTTTTTATTGCACAAAAGGACAAGAGGATGTTGGTAAAGTTGCAAGAATCTGCACATACATCATGCTAATGCTAAGCTAGTGAAAAAGCCAGAGTTATGTTAAAATTGAGTGAATGCTGACCCCAGCCCAGCAGTCAGACAGTCAGACCCTGAACTTCAACAGTGATGATCAGTCAGCACTGTAGCCTCCATTTCTACCTGTACATGTTTGTAAAGTAGGATCGCTGAAGTCTTCTTGAGGTGGTTTCCATCTTCGTTGTGTGTTACCAGCTTTGTGTTCATATGTAAACACAAGAAAAGATCATACATGTGTCTCGAATAGGATAGGGATTTGTGTAGTTGACTTTAGGCTAAGGTTTATATTGTTAGCTGGTAATAATGTGGTGATGTGTTTCGGGTCATTTTACAGAGTAACGCGATAGTAATGTAACAAATTACTTTCTTCATTAATTAAGTAATGCACTGCAGTATTTTTGAAGAAATGTAACGAGTAATGTGTAATGCATTCCTTTTTTTTTTTTTTGAATAATGACTCCACCACTGGTTACATCCAGCTTTTAATTACAGTCTATGTTCTCAATACGTTTGCAAGGTGTTTTGCAGGGAAAAAGTGAAATCTCTTTGTTTTTACATCAGGTAACAGCGTGAGCGAGCTGCCACTGGAAGCTGGTGATGACGCCGGACAGGTCCAGTGGGTTGACCTTGACTCATCTTTCCCCCTTTATGCGAACCACTCCCATTTCCTGGAGATTATTGCCAAAGAGAGGAAAGCGCACTGGTAGCCAAAAACGAATGAATGCTTTAAGAGAGAAGGAAACTTAAAAGCCTTACAGCCCCTTGGTGTGGTGAGAGGGCTCATCAACTGAAGTAGCATGGCATTTTATGTGAGCCTACTTACACTGATTGATGTACAAAACCCTAACACATATTAATTTATATTAAAACTCCCAAAGATGTACTCTGCAGTTTAAAAGAGATAGCCTGCTAAGCATGCTGTTTGAGATACTAAAAGAGAACTATTGTACATTTAGATTAAACCCTTTGACTGACTGCTTCCAAGATAGTAAAAATAAGCCTGTAAGAACAAGAGGAAGCACAGATTATGCTAATGTATTCAATGCTAACAAGTATCACATTAACCAAACACAATGATCTCCCGAACATAACAGTACTACTAAATTAATGGAAGGGGAGAAATCAGAATAAAGAAGTGGAATCTGGCTTTGATCTTTACATGTGAAAAGGATATGATGATGGTGATGCGCAGGAGCAGACATGGTTTCGAGTGGCAACAGACGGTGGATGTAAAACAGCATTTTGCAATCAGCAGGCTGCCTTTCCAAATGTACACATCAAAACGTGTCATCTCACAGGTCGGGATACTTATCAGGGAGGCAGTGATGAATTATGCATGAAAGATCTTGAAATCTGTGTGAGACAAACACTAACACCTCTGTTATTTAAAGGTACTGCAGAATGGAGGGTCCCAAAATGAATCGAATAAATACATCATTAATTATGTCAATAATGGGTTCAAATTGGAAATGCATTAATTGTTTTTATTACATGGTTTAAATGAAACTCTATTTTGAATGATTATTTTGTAATAAGTTTATTTTCAATTTCAAATAATTAAGGACAAATGTCAATAATTATTTATTCATCTATTTAGCTCATTCTTTTTGGCACTCATGTCCTCTATTCTCAACAACCAAAAATAATTATTTATAAAATCCCGTTAGGAGTGGCAGCTGCTTTGTCTTCAGATTGATTTTCCAGATAAGATAAGATAAGATAAGACTTTATTGATCCCACAACGGGGAAATTTTTGCGTTACCTCAGCTCAGGTACAGATATATGAAGGAAATACAAAAATACAATTAAGTACAATCAATGAAAAAAAGTAAGATAATACACTATATACAATGGTAGCATACACAGTATGTGATTATGGATATAGTTGGAAATATGGAAGACAAACTATATAGCTTGGAAGGTCATGGAAGGTCCATTATGCATGAAGTGGTGACCGTGGATGTTCACAGTGTCCAGTGACTTATGACATCGTGATTGAGGAGTTATAGAGTCTAACTGCTGTTGGGATGAATGATCTGCGAAAGCGCTCCTCCCTTATTTTACAAGGTATTGTCAGGCCTGACCGTGACTAAACTGGTGAGGACATCAGTTGGGCTTATCAAGCATTAACCTTAATCAAATTAGGGCCCCAAGAGTTCCAGGAGGCACCACAAATCCTATAAAACTATTTTATTTGCTCTCCGACCACAATGTCACCCATGTAAGGGCCAATTCTGCTGTTTAAATTTCACTTCAGTAAGCATATGATGCACTATAGCCCTAAAATCATGGGCTGGATGACAGCTTTTTGGCAGTAAAATTCTGCACAAACACTTTAATTATTGGTATCATTAATTGCTCGTCTTAAAGCTTTACAGGTTCTGTAAAGTATTTTTTAATATAAGGTGTAATGTGAAAATTAGCAGGGGTTTACTTATGAAACTTGCACTGATTAAAATTATTATTATTTTTCAAATGTTTGTCTGCATAACTTAAAAATGTACATTGTTGTGAAATCGTGAGTTCAATTGTATGGGTTTCCTCATTAAATATGCACCATTATAAAGTAGTTACTGTGTGCGCAGCGTCAGCTGGTTTCAGCTCACAGTCACACCAGAAACAGTTTCCTTATATGTTTTTGTTTGTGCCATTGAGAGCTACACCAATGTTTCATGTGTACTTTGCATTCTATTCATGTGAAAATAAATTCCCACATATATTAAACAAGTTAAATGTGTTTGCCTCACACTGTATTGTTGTGTGCACTCTATGTTGTATGCGCAGTGATCCCTTTTTCCACCAGCATAGTAGTGCAGGCCCTCACAGCTTCTAGTGGTTAGTACAAACTGATGTTCCAACCATTTTATTAAGCACGTATCCAATTCAGGGGTGGAGCTAGAGCTTAAACCTATAGCCAAATAATGACTCCAATTCTAAAAAACATGGGATGCTGTATAAAATGTAAATAATAACAGAATGCAATGATTTGCAAATCTTATAAACCTGTATTTCATTCACTGTAGAACAGAGAAAACATATCAACGCATCATTTTATTGTTTCATGTAAAATATTGGCTCATTTTGAATTTGATGGCAGCAACATGCCTCTAAAGAAGATAGGACAACAAAAGGCAACAAAAAGACTGGAAAAGTAAGAGGAACTAAAAAGAAGCAACTGGAGGAACATTTTGCATTTAGGTTGAGTGACAACAGGTTGTGATTGGATATAAAAAGACTGTATTAAGAAAAACATCTTAAAGTGTCACCAATCTACATAAAAACTGCATCTACAAAATTAAGGAGTAATTTAAGAAAAAATGTTCTTCAATGTAAAATTGTGCATTCTTTAATACTGTATCATTGACAGTACATGATATCATCGGAAGATTTTGAAAATCTGGAGAAATCTCTGTGTGCAAGGGACAAGGCCAAAAATCAAAATTGGTTGCCTGTGATTTTCAGGCCCTCAGTGCACTAGATTTAAAACAGATATAATTCTTGAATAATTCTTGAATGAAACGGGCTCAGGAACTCGTTCAGAAAGAAATCATCGTCTGTGAACACGGTTCACCAGACTATCCAAAAATTTAGGTTAAAGCTAAAAAGAAGCCATATATGAACATGATCCAGAAATACTGCCTTTTTCTTTGGGCCAATTCTCACTTAAAATGGACTGGGCCAAAGTGGAAAACGTCTTCTGTGTTCGGACTAATTACAGTTTAAAATTCACTTTGAAAACATGGAAACTACATCATTTGGACTAAAAGTAGTAGCTGTACCATCTGGCTTGTAAACAGCACTCAGTTCAAGAGTATATAATTGCTTATGAAACTGACAGCTTTCACACTGGAAAGTTTTTTTAGAGTAACACGTACTCCCACTCCCACTCAGATGATATCCTTTTCAGAGAAGACCTTGCATAGTTCAGCAAGACAATGCTTTGATTTAATCCAAGGAACTTCTTGGTGTGAGTCGACAGTGTTTTTAAAAATCCAACCAAAATGTCTGGACCACAAATACACTAACATGTCTGCATTAATTTGCACAGAGCCCCACAAAATAGGGATCAGGTATCCTTAAAAGTCTTTTTCTGCTATTACTAACATGATGCTTACAAATTATTTTTACATTCAAGGTGCAGCATGTGTGAACGTAAATGTCCTTGGCTTTGAAATACTCGTTTACTTATGTTTTTAAAATTGCAGATATAACTTGCTGTGGTTTTAAACACAAGGGAATCTAGTTTAATTATTAAAGTTTCCCTAATGAAATGTTGTGTTTATTAAAAAACAGCTCTACATATCATATGGTATGTCTGTCTAACCAGGAAATGTTTGGCGCTTCCCCTCAGACATATTCCAAACTTCATTACCCATAATCCCGTGCAACAAAAGCCGCCCAAGCTGACGACGTGGCCAAGGTACAGACCGGGGCGATTCAAACGAGGCAGACCGGCTTTGTTTGTAGCTAGCTCATTGAGGTGGAATTCATATGCTTGCTGAAGTTTGTGTGAATCTTTTAATTCATCACTGAGTGTAACGATGTCCGGGAAAATCAAGAGCCGAAGTGCTGCAAACTCAGACTCGATAACCGGCGGTGTGTCCTGCGATGAGCGCATCTTGCGGGATTGTCATGAACTGTACACGGATCCTGACAGCGGTGAGTTGGCTGACGTACAACTCGTGGAACTGACAGCATCTCACCTGACGCCTGCACCTTTCACCTGTTTGATATTAAAGTTGATAAAACAAACTCTTTGCTGCACCGCGGGCTAGCTAGCTAACTTTGTACATAACGTTAGCCTTTCCCAAAGCACGGGGAGCTAACCGTTAGCTGAGTTAGCTAGTGAGGATTTTATATTTGCTGACGATGCGACTGTCAACATTAATGCTGGTTAAATCAGTCACCCACTGATGTGACACTCTGTTTGTTATTAATAAGTCAGTTGCATAGTTGTAATGTAACTTCTAATATAGGTTTACAAGGCACACTTCTGGATCTGGATCTATCTCCAGTATTGGCAGCACAGGGTTATCCTGTACATTGAGAACGTGTGCAACATTTCAGCTTAAAACCAGATCTGCCAGTTGACTCATACATCTCGCTGATATATCTCAAAGATAATGACGAGACAAAATGCCAAGTGAAAAAATGGGAATGATGAGAGAAAGAAGACTATCACCTAGCGAAATGGCTTCCTTTGAGTAGTTGAGAACTTTGATATTGTCCTTTACATGCCAAATGTCACTTATCATTTAGATCTGCTCATCCCAACACAGCACCATGATTTTTCTCCTTTCCTACAGAAGCTAATAAACCATCTGTGTCCTACTCTCTGTTATACTCAGGGTTGATCACAGTGGCCGAATCGGTTGGTGTGAAGTTGCTGCCGCCCAGAAAAAAGATCACAGTGCTGCTGATGGGGAACCACTCTGCTGGGAAAAGCTCCTTCATCAACTGGTAAATATATACTATGGATAAATATTTGCACAAGTGCAAATAAGTGGCAGATTATTAACCACTTATCCAACTGACAAAGTAATGGAAATCTGGTGTCTGGGATGAGGAGACTTCTGTGTTAAATCTATGCCGTAGGTACGCGTAACCGCAAAATCCTTCCGCAACCCTACACCTTCAGGACTCATAGATGTTAGCAATTTCCTGGAAGGAGATTGTCCCAACCATTAAAATAGATATTAGGGAATGTGAAAAAATGGAGGAACTTGACGGGCAAATATGTTTAAAACTGAAAATTGGAAGTAGGACTCAGGAGGGACAAAGTCTCAGGTGTTTTTGTTGTGGCATCCACTGCATATAAAACACCGGGACATAACCGCATAACCTAATATAAAGCATTGCAATCATTACCAATTGTAATGACAGCAATGGCTTGCAGAAGTTTAAATCAGCTGTTAGAGGGAACTTGGTGTTCATCCTATTTCTTTCCTGATGGGGATGTTGTGCTTCATGATAACCATGTGCCCATGTACAGGGAATCGGTGCACACTGAATGGTTTGATTAGTACAAAAATGAAGTGAATAATATGCTATCGCCTTCACAGTCAGCAGACCCAGTTAAACACCTCAATCAGTGTGTAAGTCCCTGATCTCCTCTGCAATCAGGAAAACACCAAAAGGAAATATCTATTGGAAGTGTGATAGAGCTCCTTTAGCAGAGCTGCAGAGATTTGTAAACTCAGTGCCAAGGAACAGGCACTGGAGGCCCTCATCAGACTAAAACCTGACCAAGGTGCCTGTTGGCTTTCCTTTAATTTGTTGCCCAGTTGCACAGCAGTCAGACTGAATAAAAGCGCATGTGTGTATCCTCTGAAATTACCAGTATTTAAAGAGTTACAATTACTTCTAAATGTTCTCGGATCTTCATTTGACTCATGTCTGAATCTGAGTTGACTAAATTATCCTGTCCATCGTTATCAGTGTCTTTAGCATTCAGTTGCGCCCATCATTCTGGTTTTTTATACACTAT